CCATGAACACTTGTGTTTTCATGTTTCTCCTTTTCTTTTGATAATGGGGAAACAGTCTTTAGCCAAGAGTCAGCATAGTGAGTCCCAAAACAAGCGCTTTGGAATCAAACACACCTTGCAGCCACGCATTAGTGTGTGACTATGGTCAGTGACTCGGTCTCTCTGGGCTCAGTTTTCATTACCGTTAAAACGAGGAGAATTACATTCATGTCGGACGATTAAAATTAGTTAATATGAATAAAGCACCTGTATACAGTGGGTGCTTAATAAGTGCTGTTTTCCTTCCCTTCCACTGTGCTTTCTTAAGATCTGGTCTGGATAACAAAGACCTTAACTGCTGGCTTGCAGGTCACGTGCAGTTGTTAACTAGCCAATAGTTTCAACCTCTTCCCCTACAAGGTGTTTCATAAAGGCTGCTAAAACATTGCAGAGCTTGCCGGACAGAAATTCCTTTTATTCTTCTCTCCCTTCTCTTTTAAAACCAAACATTCATAATACGACAGCTAGAATCTGGGTCTCCAGAGGGAGGGAAACCCAAGAGGGCAGGGCCAGAGGGCAGCCACTGAGTTATCAAGGACTTCCGCGGAGGTCAGCTTTGCTTCTGAAGCTCACTTCTTGTTCCCGTGGGCACAAAAAGAGGTCCACACGGAAGACAGATTAGGAAAACGGCCTCTGTCAACACCTGGCTGCACCCTGTGGACTGCAAAGGTGCCTTTGGGGAATGGTGTGGGTCCTGCACACCTTAGGGCGGGACTTCTGCAGAGCACCTTGGAGATTCAACTCGGACTAGAGAGCAGATACAGCCCGTGGGGCCTGAGCCCATAAGATGAGCACTCACTTGGGTCCTCTGGAAGTCAGGGCTCATCTCAGCTCTTCACTCAACCTGTGACTTTTTTCCTTGCCATCCTCAGGGGATTGTATTTTGCACGTAAAATTAGACAGCACACGTAAAAGCAACTAGCACAGTGCCTCAAAGGCAAATCTAAACCTAGCCAAATCTAAACCTGTATGCAAATGTCCATGGATTTTTTAGTGTTACAAAACAGTTTCTACTTACAACAAAGGGTCTCCCAAATAGATTCCATCAGAAATGTGTTTCCTGAGCTATTCTGCATGCGTGTGATGGCGGAGGTGGCAGGTGACTCTATGGTCCAGTCAAGTTGAGACAGGCAACATGCTTTCTTTTGCCTTTTTTTTTTTTTGGAGTTGAGTCTCATCCATTGCCAAGGCTGGAGTGCAGTGGCACGCTCACGGCCACCACAGCCTCGACCTGCTGGGCTCAGGAGATCTTTCCACCTCAGCCTTCCAAGCAGCTGGAACCACAGGCGCATGCCACCACGTCCGGCTAATTTTTGATTTATTGTAGAGATGAGGTCTCGCCAAGTTGCCCAGGCGGGTCTCGAACCCCTGGGCTCAGACAATCCTCTCACCTTGGCCTCCCAAAGTGCTGGGATGACAGGCTTGAGCCTCCATGCCCGGTTGGCATGCTCTTTCTCAGAGACTCCAGAACCACAAGCACATCTAGATGGTTCTGGGAAATGCTGTGGTTGTCCGAGCACACATGCTAGCTAGCTGGCAACAACTCGCCTCATCTCACCCAAACCAGCATTTCTAACCCTTTTCAAATGGACCCTGTGTAGATCCTTCGGAGTGAGTACACCACAGAAATGCTGCAATAGTGAAAGCTGACTAGCAAATCTAGATTTGGGGACATTCCCACTGAGCACGGGTCCTTCTTGTGGTCTAAACGAGGTCCCTTTCTGCTCCCAGTTGTACCCACCCATCCCTTTAGCTTTATCATACAGGTTTCACCCCTTCAACTATGAAGACTGTCTATGTATCCTAAGCTAAAGGAGAACACAACATTCCACAGCATTTAGCGTCTCGATACATAACCATATTGATTACTCACCGTTTGAATTATCCCAGAATTCATCTCTAATTAGAGGCAAGCTTTCTAATCTGCCAGATGTTTCCGGGATACTTCTTCACACAGTCCACGGTTATGCCCAAGTGAATTAACCAGTTGTCATCACCACCCCAAGTCGCATTTGCTATGAACTTGAAAGACCTATGTTACCTCGTTGTTTCTCTAAGCAAATTGCAGTATGGCCCCCATTTTACAGATGAAATAACTGAGGCTCGAACCATCACTGGGTGGCTGGTAGAACCAGAGGTCTGGCTCAAACTCTAGTGGTTTAATCTCTGCCATAAATCCCAGTGTGCTGGATAAGGAGCGCACACCAATATTGACATCTGTAATTTACATTTTTAAGAGACATGAAGCTTTAAGGTCCGCGAAGAGAATTACTTCTTTCTTACTGCCTGGGTGGCCGCTGTCTGGAGACAAAGAAGGGAGAGCAGCTCCTTTCCAGTTAGGACAGGTTAGCATAGTTGTTAAGGATAGGCAAGATGTTTCTTAGTGTAGGGAGAAAAACTGCAGGCTCTAAAGCCATGTACTTCCTGGGCCCAAATCTCAGCTCCTTCCCGATCTTAGAAGATGAGCTTAGGAAAGTTGCTTTCTAACTCTGTGCCTCAGTTTCCTCATCTGTAAATTCTGGAATATGATGGTACCTAGCTCGCAGGTCATTGTGATGATTAAACGAAGAGCAATAAAATAGAGCAAAAAAAAACTTAGATTGCAAATGACTGAGTGATATTATGCGTCACACGGCTCCTGCCGGTTGTCTGGGGGAGACAAACCACTGTTTATAACGTTGCTTCTTATTGGAAAAATGTGCACCTAGTTCCAGAAAAGATCTACTTACAAATGAGGTCAGGGATGACTATACTATTCAAAATTATGCAGTTAAATGCTGAGTAACTTAACCACCCCCCACCCCCTGGCCACACTAAAGAAAATAGCCTAATACATGTCAGAATCAAATCAGAATTACTTTTGTTATTACTCCTTGATGGGCTTGTGCGGCAGCCTTTGGCTTCACTTGTTCCAGTTATTTCAGGTTGATTTAGAAACCTCTGAAGCATAGGTACGTGAAAACTGATATCCAACAAAAGCAGGAGCCAATTTCAAATGGCCTCAATTAAGCTCATAATTAAATTGAGTAAATTCTGCTGTAATTCTCATAAGAATTTGAGGGTTATTTAAAAACATAAATCATCTTCAAAAAGCGCTGTCTTTGGTTAGAGCGAGGAATGGAAAGGTTAGTTGGGTGAAACAAGATCAACCTAGTGCCACGCTGATGGGAAAAACTGTCAGCTAGGCTTGCTTTCACATGTGGAGGGCAAGAGGTCAACATTAGGCCGGTAGCCAGTCTAATCCATATTCTTATTTTTTTTAGTTGAACTATTAAACATTTTTTAAAAATCAAATGAAGTTAATGTATTCATGTCTTTAGAGCGGGGGTTTTCTTTGTACCTTTTCTTGAGAATTGAAATTAGTTGACATATTTTTTTTGAGTGGGAGTCTCACTGGGTCGCCCAGACTGGAGGGCAGTGGCCGCTCCCCGCCACCGCAGCCTCGACCTGCTGGGCTCCGGGGAGCCTTCCGCCTCAGCCTTCCAAGTAGCTGGAACTACAGGCATGCGCTATACCACGCCCGGCTGATTTTTTGATTTATTGTAGAGATGAGGTCTCCCCAAGTTGTCTTGAACCCGCGGGCTCAGGCAATCCACTCACCTCGGCCTCCCAAGGCGCGGGATGACAGGCTGAGCCACCGAGCCCGGCGACATACTGTTTTTTTAAAATAAGGATTGCGATCCGGAGAAATTGTTTCTCTTAGGCAAAGGTGGTTGAATGGGGAGGATTGTCCATTGAAGTTTTATAACCTCAGGATTACGTTTGAATGTCAGGGCCCAGGTCTTCTTTGCTCTCTCCTATTTTCCAGATCCTAGTACTGTGTGCATTTCCTATAGTAGTCACTCAATAAAAATACGCGGAGTTAATAAATCTGGGCCAGGCACTGCACTTCATCAGGGCGATGGAGGTGGGACCCCTGGGAATGTGGTTTGTTGAGGAAAGGCTGCCAGGTTTTTTCTAACAACGACTCCAGTGCCCTCTGCTGGCAAGATTTTGGAACTACAACTCAGGATCGGAAAGGAAAAACAAGGCCAAGTCCAGAGAGGGATTTCTCGGCTTTTTTTTTCTTCCTGCAGTCAGACTCTACCATAAAAGGACCACAGAAGGGCCATACTCACTTACCGTGTTCAGTACAACTAGGATATGGAGAAGGCTAAAACTGGGATAAGTGAACACACTGCTCTTGGAGGTGACCGGGAAGGGCTTCAAAGAAAAAAGGAGCAAACAGTACCAGGAGACCAGAACTCTGACAGATCTTTTTGTGACCATCTGTTAACTGGTAAGTTCTTTAAGTGCTTCACTCAAAAAAAAAAAGTCTAGAACGAGGACCCAGTCGGTGAAATCCCTATGACCTGCCAATCTTGGTATTGGTGAGGATGTTTTACTCTTATTATCCTTGGGATAATGCACTTCACACAAATTCTGATTACCTCCCCAAGTCTATTTTCCTCTTGATACGACGTTCAGCTTACCTAAGATAGGTGTATTAACTTATAAAGGCACTTTCAAGGGATTACAATTTTTTTCGTAAGAGAAAGAGGAGATGCTGGCTAACCCTTCCAGGCTACTTCATTCTTCCCAACCCTAGACATTTTAGAAGGCATGGGCTACTAACATGGTCCTAGAGTGACCCCTTGCTGTACAATCTATACATGAGCCAGCAGGTTCGGTCCTGGATGCTCGTCAAGACAGAAACCTCCCCGGCTATGAGAGTGTATGCATTCACGTGCATGATAGGAACAACCTGGCCCTATTCAGCTCACCTTTTTAGTGTTTCTAGACTCTGTAAAGCTGTTGGTTTGCCCATTATTGAGCCTCCCCAAAATAAATTCTATGAGCTTGCGACAGGGCCTATCAATTTGTCTTCCTGGGTTGTTCAAAAAAGAACACCTTACATTTCTAATATTCAGATACGTTCTGGATGTTCTATACAGGACTACTGAATAAGCAAAAGACTTTACATTTGAGGAGTGGCAGCATTCCCTGTGGGGTCCATGATTTGAAATTCCATGATGTCTGAATTCACTTCCAAAGATGGGTTTATGATGTAAACAATGGTCTTACTGTTCAGATCCTTTTGGCTAAATTTCTCATGGATAAATTCACCTGCAAAAAAAAAAAAAAGGAATCTCATAGGTAATCATACAAAACATTAAATAAAAGCTGATAAAATTGTATTTTATTTGAGACCCAGCTTTTAAACACAGCTGAAGTCCATTTTCAAAAGAAATTAACATGACGGCAACCCTCTTAAAACTTGAGAGCAATGAACTGAAATTAGACTTTAAGTTTCCTTTGCTCTGGAAATATTTACCTTAAAGAAAATATAAAAATAGAGAGAGGGAGAGTAGGAAGATACAGTCACAGACGTCTGTGATCCTGCTTAGTGATATAGTATGATCATTGTGTTCCTACAGCAGAATTAATACACAATCCAGAGAAACCGTTAGGAAAAAGCACGGAACTTTTTTTTAATAACTAAACTGACATCATTTAGAACTCATGCTAGAAGCAAACAGTTAGTCACAACTATGAAATTTGGTGTTGACACCCCATGCTCCTCTGAATATATTACAACAGACTGCTGGGAACGCAGGGCAAACAGTCAACAGCTGGAGACCTGTACTCAGTTCTCCCAGTCAAGATGAATTTGGGAAGGCTGGGCTTCAAGCCCCCTTGAGCACCAATATTGATTTACAAACCGCCTCTATCAGCGAGCCCCGGGGAGCGTTTACCAAATGGGCCTGCACTCAATTAAATTACTCTCCAGCCCTGCCAGCCACCGGGCGTTCCAAGAGGAGCCATTGCAAGGAAGAAGGAAGCCGGTACCTGTTGTGGTGTTTCCCAGGCGTCCGTGTCTCGGGCCTCGCAAAATCTTAAAGAGGATCCGGTCGTCCTCGGTGTCCGGGTCCGCCGCCTTCAACACCCGAGAAGTGATGTGGATCCCGTAACGGCCATTGTTCAGAAGCACCACTTGAGAAGGGGGGTGCAGGAGCGTGAGCCGGGGCGCCGCTTTGTCCACCTGGTCTACCTGAACAGCAATCATGATGTGCAGGGTCAAGCCAGAAGCCTCCCACCCCCGGGCAATGCAGGGCTCAACCAGGGCAAGCTCCCATGTTGCACATTCCCTGAACTGGTCGATTCTATTTATTTTATTTTCTTTTTTAACTTTTCTCTTACTTATTTGTCGTATTTCTAAAATGTGGCGGACCATCCAGGGATAGGTGCGCACACGGTCATTGTGCAGGTACCCCTGTGGATGAGGCGTGCTCCCCTGTCCTCCCTCCTGGCAGTTTCCCACTGCTGCCAATCCCTTTCTTATGGTATTTTGATGATAATCGTTCAAGTCGAAGCCTGTCGTGTTCACTGCATCCCCAGCGGACATCACAGCACCCGGAGCAGAGGCCGACTTGCCGCTGTGTAAACCTTGACCTCGCTTCATCAGGTTATGGGTTGTCTGACTCCCGCTTTGGCTCCAAGGTCCACGAGGGCAGACATCGTGTCTCCCGCGTCCCTGTCGATTCCCTGCACCTGGCATCGTGCCTGAACCGTAACAGAAACCCAGGGAGTGTTTGTTGAATGAATGCATGCAATCAACCCAAGAATTGGATGCCAGACTTAGTGGTAAGTCCACAGGAAAATATCTCCATTTTTCCGGTGTCTAGTGATTTACAGAAACAAAACAGTATGGGTTAACAAATACTTGGAATTTTTTTTTTTTTTTGGCATGTCTTCATTCAAACAGCAAAGATGCTGAATAAAAACAGAAATACCCAGTGGCTCAGCCCATCACTCCAGCACTTTGGGAGGCCGAGGCGAGTGGACAGACTGAGCCCGTGGGTTCAAGACCAGACTGGGCAACTTGGCGAAACCTCGTCTCTACAATAAATAAAAAAAATTAGCCGGGCGTGGAAGCACACACCTGTAATTCCAGCTACTTGGAAGGCTGAGGAGGAAGGATCACCAGAGCCCAGCAGGTCGATGCTGGGGTAGCTGTGAGAGCGTGTGCCACTGCACTCTAGCCTGGGCGACAGAATGAGACTCCAACTCAAAACAAACAAACAAACAAACAATATAGAAATAATGTAGTAAGAAAAAAGTGACGGGCCATGATCCTTAAGTGAGGAGTTCAGGTTCAAACTCTCCAAAGGCCTTCTCCCAGTGTGGTAGTCTGGATGGAACTCGGTCCATCCTGCATTGCCAAGATGACTGTCATATGTTAGAGATGGAACCAGTTCAGATGGATTAGACACATTCACCACTGGTATGAGAAAACAGGTCCAAGAATATCACCTTCGCCGGGCTCGGTGGCTCAGCCTGTAATCCCGCGCCTTTGGGAGGCTGAGGTGAGTGGATTGCCTGAGCCCGCGGGTTCGAGACCCGCCTGGGCAGCGAGACCTCATCTCTACAATAAATCAAAAAATCAGCCGGGCGTGGTAGCACGTGCCTGTAATTCCGGCTACTTGGAAGGCTGAGGCGGAAGGATCGCCGGAGCCCAGCAAGTCAAGGCTGCGGTGGCCAGGAGCGGCCACTGCACTCCAGTCTGGGCGACCGAGTGAGACTCCAACTCAAAAAAAAAAAAAAAAGAATATCACCTTCATTCCCTCCCCTCCATATCTCTCAAGTCTTTATTTACCCAAGATGATACCACTATCAATCTTACTTTATCCTAGCAAGGTCAAAAATTCATGTTGGTGATAAGGCCATATATATTTTTGTATATTATGATATAACAAAGTATTGTGTCACTGTTTTTTAAAAAGCGGGGGCAAGATAAATCAATCATATTGTAGAAGATGACTACAATACTATTTTTGTTTTTTTAAAAATACACATATATGTTTACATAGACACAGACGAAAGTTTGGGAGCATTTGCACAAAGATGTTCATTTGTCTTGGGATAGGGAAAGATTATGACTCCTCTTCTGTTTATCCCTACATGAAATGTTGCCACAACCATTTTTTTCCTCTCAAATTGGCAAGCTTTTTTTGTTTTTTTTTTTGAGTCGGGGATCTCACTCTGTTACCCAGACTGGAATACAGTGGCAGACTTGAACTCCTGGGTTCAGGCAATCCTTCTGCCCCAGCCTTCAGAGTAGCGAGGGCTACAGGTGTGTGCCAACATGCCCAGCTAGTTTTTTTGAATTTTGTAGAGATGAAATCTTGCTATGTTGTCCAGGCTGGTCTCAAACACCTGCGCTCAAGCAATCTTTCCACCTTGGCCTCCCAAAGTACTGGGAGATAAAAAGGTTATTTTTTAAAAAACAAAAATAATCATAACTTGGGTTGATAATTATATGGAGAATCAGACACTTTCACATTTTGCTGGTAGGGGTGCAAAATCAGGAAAATGTTCTGGAGAAAAAAGTTTCTGTATTTTGCAGAAACAATTTGATGTGTACAAAAATGTATATGTATGTATTATGTGTGTATGTGTATGTACTAGATATATATTCACTAAAATATTATTCATTTTAACAATTAATTTAAAATTCCAAAAACATAGAGGTTCAACAGGGGCTTTATAAACCATATCCACCTGAGACTGAGAGGCCCATGCAGGCTTTAAAACTTATGTTTTCAGCACAGCGGCTCACACCTATAATCCCAGCACTTCGGGAGACCAAGGTGAGAGGATTGCCTGAGCCCATGGGTTCGAGACCAGCCTGGGCAACTTGATGAGACCTCATCTCTACAATAAAACAAAAAATTAGCCAGGCGTGGTAGTGCCTATGGTTCCAGCTACATGGAAGGCTGAGGTGGAAGGATCGCCTGGGCCCAGCAGGTCAAAGCTGGGGTGTCTGTGAGAATGAGACTCTGAATCCAAAAAAAAAAAA